AGCCGTGTGCCATGTACTCTGAGTGTGAGCCAGTTAAGGACACACCACTCCACAGCCAAGACAGCGGTGCCCTCTTTCATAGAAGAGGAAACTGAGGACATGAAGGCAGTGAAACTCGACTGAGGTGACAATGTTGGGAAGTGGGAGAGCTGAGATTTCACCCTAGTCTACAAAAAAGGGAATATAGGACACCAGGCAGTCCTCCTGCAGGTCAGAGAGGCAGTTGTCTCTGCAGCCTCTTGGAGTGAGGTGGATTTCTCGTGGCGCTGCCAGAGTGGAAGCAGTGTTGGGAAGGGTTTTTAAGTGCAGGACAAATGCACACAGTGGTCTTATCTGTGGGGTGGAGTGCAGAGTGGGCATCCAGGTGGAGAGAGACATTAAGGCTGCTGTGTGTGGACAGGGGCCTCTCCTATTGGGAAAGGCCTACTGGAGACTCTGGAGAATAGATGTAACTGGGCAGCACTCCAAAATGTGGCTCAACTGCTGGATTGACTTTCCTCCAGATACCTACCCCCTCTGAACCCAGTTCGAGGAAATTTCAGGCAGTTTCCTGACCTCTGGACTAGGTACACAATGAAAGCAAGCACTGTAATTAAAGCCAGCATCTCCAGTGACCTGGAGTCAACTACCGCACCCCACCTTCTGCCACTGGAGCAGGAGCAGGGGGAAGCTCTGGCTGCTAAAAAGTAAGAGAAGAAACATGTGTTCTACTGTCTTCTTTAGGCCCTGGATCTCCTGATATCCACTGTTGGCCTTAGGCATGTGGCTCTGACCATCCTGGACATTTTTCCAGGCACAGTGGATGGGTCAGCAGGAAGTAAGGAAGCCAGTCCCTTCACAAGCCAAGAAGACTTCAGTTGGAAGGGACCTGGAAGTATGTCTTACTCACATTCCTTTTGGGATTTGGAGGCCTCCATAGTATCCCCCACTACATGGCCCTGCAGCCTCTGAACTTTCCATGATGGGCTCCTTTAGGAGGTCAGTCAGGGTGGTTGGAGAAATTGTAGGAAACGCAAACCTTCCTGGAAAGCCGGAAGTTTTGCAAAAGCTTGGGAAAGGTTCTGCTATTACCTTGAGCTAATAGCTAGGCGCAGAAACAAAGGAATGCAGAGGAGTTCATCTAAATAGCTTGTTTACTCTTGTGGTCTAAGACCGATCTTTGATCTTCCCCAGGCACAGGACAGCTCTCTACTCAGGGGGTTGGCAATGTTAATTACCCTCTAATGGTGTTTACTTGAGACCTTTGTCATTTAATCTGTACTAAATAAATGTGAAGGTCACAGGCTTATCAAGATCACTGCTGACTCTGACAGAGGACCCCAGGCTGGGCTGACAGGAAAGCCTGTGTCAGTGCATGTTTTTCATCTGTCGCTCCATCAGAGTCTACTTGTTGGAACGAGCAGTTGGTGCCCTGTGTGAGAAGCACTGCAATGGATCGCAGATCGTGACGGAACCCTTGAAAACGAAGGTGAAAAGACTGCACAGTCAGTAAGTCAATAAATCAATAAGTCAGTAAGTCAGTAAGTAAGTCATTGGTGCCTGCTCTCGATTTCCAAGTTCAAGGGAATCATTCAGGCTAGGGTTTCATCATGTGGCAACAGTTATCAGCCCAACAGATAAAAGTAATCAAATAGCTGCTTAAAGCTAGTGGAGCCTCAGTTTGCATGCTCGATTAAAGCACCTAATGCAAACTGTTGTTTCCCAAAGCCCATGGTTCCCAGCAGAAGGCACACTAAGCATAGAGCTCTGGGACAAGTGGGAAGAACTTTTAAACAACATCATGCACAAGGGCAACAGGTCCCAGCAACATCTCTAATGTTATGGAACTTAGTTAAGGCTGCTACGGTCCAGCTCTATGCAGAAGAGCCCAGAAGGGAAAGGGAAGAGGAAACGTCACCAACCTTACTATCTCCCTCAGCCCAGAAATTACCAGGTAAAAATACCAACAAGGAAACGGAGATTTTACATAAGGCCCCTCCGCCAATAAACTGGAGAAAGGACAGGGGATATGCTACAGCTACGGGAGCCTGTCTTAGGCAAGTGGCATTAGAAGGGGAGCTGTTGGCCTGCCTGGAAATGTGAGATCAACAAGGCAATCAGGTATATGCTTACAAAGAGATTAGAGAAAATGGAGCCAGGAGCCTATTTATGAAAGGATTAATTGAAGCCATAGCAAAAATCTTTGATGTAACACCATGGGACTGGTCGGTGCTAGCTAAGACAACTTTAAACACCAGTCAGTACCTCCTCTGGAAGGCATAATAATGGCTAATAATTGCCACTGTTTTTTCTCCCTTATCCCTGATGTGGCTCTCTCAAAATCCTGTCTGGGTAGAAGAGTAGCCTTTGAAAGGAGAGAAATTACAGACAGCCCATGAATTAGTTGAGGAGCAATTAAAAGCTGGCCGTATAGAACCATCAAACAGCCCTTGGAATTTGCTCATTTTCATCATTTCCAAAAAGTCTGGCAAATAGAGACTTAGGTATAACTTGCGGGCTATTAATGCTGACTTAAAACCTATGAGCCTCTCCAGCAGGGGCTCCCCTGCCCCGTGGTGATTCCTCAAGATTAGCCTATTATCATTATTGACTTAAAAGACTGCTTTTAGACCTTTCTGTTTACAGAACAGGACAGAGAAAAATTTGTGTTTACATTGCCAGCTATCAATAATGAACGTTCGGCTTGCCAATTTCACTGGAAAGTGCTTCCTCAAGGAATGCTTAACAGTCCCACCATGTGTCAGTATCAAGCTTGGCTCTCCAGTATGAAAGAATTTCCTAATTGCAAAATTATTCATTTTATAGATGATATTTTACTGGCAGCCCCAAAGGAGCCAGTAAGTTTAAGTTTATATGCCTCTGTCCAAAGGAACACACAGTTAAGAGGTTTAATCATAGCACCTGAAAAAGTACAAAAGTCCTCTCCTTGGTAATATCTTGGATACATAGTAACTAACCCAGTAAGACCTCAAAAGGTTAAATTAAGTACTAGCAATTTAGATATCCTAAATGCTTATCAAAAATTACTGGGGGATATTAACTGGCTTTGCCCCACCTTGGGCATAACAACTGATAAGTTGCAAAATCTGTTTTCTATCTTAAAAGGCAGTGCTCCCTGGATTCTCCCCGGTATTTAACCCCTGCAGCAAAAAGGGAAATTGAGAAAATAGAGCTAGCTATCTCTCAAAGGCAGCTAGATCACATATACCCAGGATATTCAATTCAGTTGTTTGTCTTTCCCACTAGCCATTCCCCAATAGGATTAATAGGACAAATGGCCCCAGCACTGCACTTTCTAGAGTGGGTTTTTTGCTCACATACTGGGAGTAAAACACTATCTCCCCATATTCAGCTAGTTAGTAAAGTCATCTATATAGGGCAGACGATGCAATCAGTTGCTAGGTTATGACTCTGATACCATAAGAATTCCTTTGAGCAAAAAGCAATTTGAAGCAGTATTGCCCCTCTCTTAAGATCTTCACATAGCACTCTCTGATTATAAAGACCATTTAGAACACCTCCTTCCTGCTGACAAACTGCTTCAGTTCTTATCTCATACTCCTTTAATTATGCCTACAAAAGTAGTTTACTACCCCATACCTAATGCTTTAATGCTGTTTACTGATGGTTCTGGTAAGAATGGAGAAGCGACAGTCTGGTGGGAACCACATAATTTCCTCATTTGATCTGGATTGACTAGACCTCAGAGAGCTGAGGTTGGATTTCTGATACTGGCCATGGAGTCATTTTCTGCTCAGCCCATCTATATTGTTAGTGACTCTGCTTACTCTGTTTATTTATTGCAGAACCTTGAGATAGCCCTAATTAAGTCTACTTTAGAACCCACACTGTGTGCCCTTTTTCTTTGACTTCAGCAATTGCTGGGTCAATGTACATATCCTGTGAAAAAAGATCATAGTATAATTGTGACTGGAACTATGGTATGTCCCATGCCAGCTGTTAAGGGGTGTGCTAAGATGTCCCAGAAGCCATAGAGTGTCTTGGGGTGGCATGGGTTCTACTTGGGGTCTGGGATATCCCATCCCCCATTGGCCCAAATTACAGGGGATTGGGACATGGCTATGAAACTGTCATTGATGCCACAGTAGACACAGATATCAGTACGATCGCCCTGCAAATGGCTGTGGAGGCTTCAGTCTAAGATATTATAGTTAACTGGAGGCTATGGGCCTATTGCCTATGATGGACCTCCAAACTAAAGTGGAATGCATTACTTTCCCGGCTTTGTTCTTTAGCACAGGAAGAAATGTTTGGGAAAGTGGCATTTATTGCATTTCCAAATTTGAGGCTACCTGCAACTAGGACTGTTAAGGCATTTCCTTTGCCATGATGTAGCCATAATTATGTTTGGGCAGGTACACCATAAGGGTTAGAACTTATATAACTTACACCCAGTGGGAGGATAGTGGAATGATATGTAGTGTTACCTGGTACCTTAGTCCAATGTGTGCCATTAATGAGGGACTCCACTGGGGGTAAATCTATCCCTCCCAGCCAATCAGTTATGTTATTAGCAACTGGGAAGGGGGTGTCTGCCCAGGTGACAGGCCAAAAGGAAGGCAGATCTAAGAGACGGGCCCAATAGAGTGTAGCAGGTACAGGTTGGAGACAAATCGAGATGATAAAAAAGATCAATACCCTACTCGAGTTGCAATGTACAACTAAGAGCTACTGTGCTTTCGAGTGCATGTGCATATGCAGGTGTCTGTATGTACAGTTGGTGTGCATGAGCGTGTGTATGCATTTGTATCTGTTTTCCTGTTAGAAATAAGAATTGCAACATGACCAACCAGGTGACCTAGTTATGGTAGTTCAGCAATGAGATTTGCCAAAATGGGTGGCAACTGAAAGAGGAACTGTGCTGTATTAAAGTAGACAGCTGCCCAGCACTGTGCCGGAGGCTTCTACATTTCTTGTAGTCCTATGAAGAGTTGTTTATTAATCTAGAGTGGAAAGCCAGGCCCCGTCTATCCCTGTTCACACGGCTGATTGGACCCTACATTGTTGAGCCCAGCCTCGTCTCTCACTCTGAGGCATCTGTCAGATCCCCAGGCTAGAGAGCCAGCATCTTTGTCATTGTGTCCCTGCTCTGCAGAAACACCAAGAAGTCATTTCTGGTAAATAAATCTGGGTTCCTGGATCAAGGGTTTGGGGAGCTGACATGACCTTGGGGGCATGGAGGATGCTTTCTAGGGGTGGAGGAGTGGGATGGAAAACAGAAATCAGCTTGAGGAGGTCTCTTTTTCTGCTTGTGTTGGAGCACCTGTGACTTTCTTCCATTCCCTGTTCATCTGCAATGGAGACTGTCTTTGTTTTCAAAGGGAGCCTCAGAGGCTTAGACCTATGGGGCTGCGCTGCTGAGGTTTCTTAGGAGGCAACAGCTGGAAGAAAGCTCTGAAGAATAAATGAAAGGTTAAGATTGAGAAATAGGAGGATGATTCAAGGCAAGTTGTCTAATTGCCAGTGGTTTGGACTCACAGAAAACAGGGAATTCTTGCCGGAATGTAGAGAGGGATCTAGCCCTCTGCCAAGAACAACGTGGTGAGAAATTTCCAGAGAAAATGCTTACACGGGCAAGCCTGTCTAAAACACCGAGGGGAAGCAAACTCAAGTTAATTCTGGGCTATGTTGGTGACTAAGGTAGAGGTCTATCTGAGGTTGAGACCTTCCTCTTTGGATCACCAGGCTTCAGCTTAAGGCCTGTCGCTGGGTAAATGATCATTAACAGGCCCTGGAGGGAATCAGCTGCCCAGATGCAAAGATGGGATTCAGGTGGCAGGTGGACCCAAAGGGGACGTGGGGAGAAAAAGGAGGCTCCTACAGACACCTGGGTTTCCACTCATTCTCTTTCCCTAAGCTATCAGGCATGAGTGAGCTGGCAATGCACAGTCTCATTCATTCTCACTGCCACGGAAAGCATATTTATAGCCTTCCAGCAGCATCACCAGGGGCCTAGGCACAGGTGAACCCCTCCTTGGGATCCCCACTGCTTGTCATAGCACCGACCTTTGTTAAAGTACTAGTACGCAATGTCACAAGGAATGTTTATTTTTCCAAATTCCCGTCTAGAGGCCAGGAATGGGTCATCTATTTCTGTGTAGCCTGTACCCAGATTGTAGGACAGAGGGCATGTTTGGTAAATATGTATTGATTAACTGAGATAATCTTCTCTGACTTTTGTCACACCAAGGTGAGGACCATGTCCCTGCTTCCATCACTCCCTCTCCTTCTCCTGAGTGTGTTGGCAGCATCTTACTCAGAAACTGTGACCTCTGAGGATGCCCAAAAGACCTGTCCCGCAGTGATTGCCTGCAGCTCTCCAGGCATCAATGGCTTCCCAGGAAAAGATGGGCGTGATGGCACCAAGGGAGAAAAGGGGGAGCCAGGTACAGGTTGGGCTGTTCTGTCTCTGCAATTCTTTACCTTCCAGAGAAAACTGCCTGGAGGTATGAGGACAGTGATGTCCTATTTGAGTATCTTTTTCTCAACTATACTATAATTCAAAACAAAGTCAGCTCCCATTCTCTGGCATCTCAGACTTCCACACAGCAGTTTGTGACAAATAGTTGTCTTGTCTGCCCAGGAAAGTGGCTCACAGGTCAGGCCATCCTATGGGACACAAGATGAATTTTTTTTCTTTGGGTCATTGTCATGTCAGACCCCTACTAACTTCAGTAGGGATGGGACCAGGTTCAAGAGGCCCAAGAGATCCAGTGGCAGTGGGCTGGACGGGAGAATCACAGTTACTTGTAAAAAAAGATGCAGTTAATTTTCACTTAGCTCCCTCCCCACAGCAACCTCCACGTGGCAACTCTATTTCTTAAGTTATTGCTCTCGGGTGCGTACCATACAGTTCTTGAGAGCAGTGGCTCAGAAAGGTCAGTCCTGGGTCAAGGTCTCCTTTCTCCTGGGAAGGGATTGAGCATCAAACTCTTGGAGAAAGAGAGAAGAACACAGATATTAAGTCACATTTCCTTTGTCTTCCAACAGGCCAAGGGCTCAGAGGCTTGCAAGGCCCTCCTGGAAAGTTGGGGCCTCCAGGAAATCCAGGGCCTTCTGGGTCACCAGGGGCCAAGGGCCAAAAAGGAGACCCTGGAGCCAGTCCAGGTAAGGACCCCAGCAAGGTCTGAGCTGAGTGCACGCAGGTTCTGAGACCTTGAGTGCCTGGTGAGAGGTGTCACTTCTCCTGTTCCTTCAAAGGAAGATACCCAAATTTGCTTTCTGATCCAGTGCCCTCAGCCCTCTCTTTGTTCATAGAGCCTTGGGGAATTCCTGTAAGTACCTGAGTACAGACTCACAAACTTTTCAAGACAACTCCCTCATCAGGCACTCCCTGTAGGAGCTGAGCCTGGGTTCTCTATCACCTGAAACAGTCCAATGTGAGGCCCTGGTCCTAGAGGGAGAATATAGGCCATCTAAGTGTGGGCTTACTATGCCTATTTTTACAAAAGCATGTAACCACAGGATGTCATCTTTTACTTCATAAGAAACCAAGCCAACACTTAATATCTTAAAAACACAGCCATCAATGTAAATCACAAGACCGTGGGTCAGCCATGTGATTTCTCTGCTGGCTTAAGCTGTAGCTCACTCGTGTGTGTGTGTGGTCGACTGATGGCCAATAGTCTCACTCCTGTGTCTGGCTGTTGTTTGGATGTTAGCTGGAGTGATGAGGGTAACTGAACCACACCTCTCATCATCCAACAGGCTAGCCAGGGCTTGTTCACATAGCAGTGACTACAGAATTCCCAGGAGTAGAAATAACAAAGGCTGTAGGCTTCCTGAAGGCTCAGAGCACATTATCATTTCTGCCACATGGTATTGGTCAAAACAAGTCACAAGGCCAGCCCAGATTCAAGGAGAGAGGAAACAGACTCCATGTCTTAATGAGAAGAACTGTATTCTATTGAGGCCATTTTTGCCATCTACTACAAGTGGTTTTGCCCTTGCCCTCCCCACTTGGATAATGGGCAACTCACAGAAATCTTGGTTTCCTGACTAACAGAACAAACTCAGGAAAAACAAAAACAAAACAGAAGACAACAAAATTAAAACCTCTCCAAAGACAAAACCCTGCGATCTTTTTAGTCACTCTTCACCAGCTCATCATAGAGTAATGCCTCAAGAGATTTCTTTTTAGTTTTGATAAAACAATTTATTTGGAAAAAAAAATCTGTGAAGAACCTGGCCTATGCATTGCTAGATAATCAGAGAGTATATGTGTGCATGTGATATGTATGTGTACTTTGGGATACAGTAAACATACAAAGAGTGACGTTTAGAGTTGGACGGAAATAGAGATTTTTCTTTCTTTTTGCCTTTCATATTTTTATCTTCCTTCAAAGTATAAACATCAATGTAAAATAAATGTTTTTTTCAGTTTGAAAAAGATACTCCACTTCCTTATATATGCACAGTTCTGAGGCTCCTTTTCAACAATCCTTCTTTACTTTGTTCTGATTTTCTAGATTGTGATTGTAGCCTGGTTAACTCAGAAAGAAAAGCTCTGCAAACAGAAATGAATCATATCAAAAAGTGTAAGTTTTTTCTCTTACTCCGCAGGCAGCTTGAAGTTTAGGAAAGATAGAATGCAACAAATATTTACTCAATGCATATAATCTTCTGTACCCTGATAGGCATTTCTCATATTCTGACCTCATAAAATTCTCATAATATTTTGGTAGAAATTGAGGCAAAGGGAAGTGCAATTACTTGCTCGAATGCACAAAGCTAATAAATGGTTTACAGATGGAAATCAGTCTGACTCAGAGACCCTAATCCTTTACCCTCTGATATTGCTCACTGAAAATGGGACTTATACCCCATTGTTGCACTGATATTGAGATCTGGCCATGAGGCCTAACCTGCCTGGGGCAAATATTTTCAGATATTTTTTGTTTGGTCTCAAGTTAAGAATTTAGAATTCAGAAGGCCAAATAATATGTCTTCTAGCATTCTAATCCAAAAGCACAGAGGCCTTTGCACCAGTCTCTCTGTTTACATTTGGGTTGCCATATTTAACAAATAAAAAAACAAGGCATCAGTTAAATTGTATTTCAGGTTAAAAAAATTTTTTTAGTGTAAGTATATCTGAAAAATTACATGGGAGATATACTAAAATATTAATTGTTTGTCTGAAATTCAAATTTAACTGGATATACTATATTTTATCTGGCAACTCCACTCTAGAAGACTTTTTCTTGAGAAACATCTTGAGTTGGGCTTAAGGATGAGCCAGTTTCACCCACTTTTTCACATTTTAGGGGTAACCTTCTCTCTGGGCAAACAAGTTGGAAAGAAGCTCTTCCTGACCAATGGTGAAACAATGACCTTTGACAAAGTGAAGGCCCTGTGTGCCCAATTCCAGGCCTCTGTGGCCACCCCTATGAATCAGGCAGAGAACACGGCCATCCAGAGTCTGGTCGAAGAAGAAGCCTTCCTGGGCATCACTGATGAGGAGATGGAAGGGCAGTTCGTGGATCTGACAGGAAGAAGACTGACCTACACAAACTGGAATGAGGGTGAGCCCAACGATGCCAATTCCAGGGAAGACTGTGTAGCGCTCCTGAGAAGTGGCCGGTGGAATGATGTCCCCTGTTCCTACTCCCTTCTGGCCATCTGCGAGTTCCCTGTCTGAAAGGTCACATGACTAGGGCCCCCCTTGTCCTTTTACTGTAATCCACAGGCCCACACTCTGCTTGGAAAGATAAATTATGTCAATTTCCCCATATGCAGTGTTGTTGCTCCTTTGTGGGCAATCACTAAAAATGATCACTAATAGCACCATCACCAATAAAGCAATAATAGAAGTAGTAATAGTAGCAGCAGTAGTAGTCATACTAATTAATTTTTAATATATACTATGAGACAGACACTATCTTTTGTATACTACATTAATTATCTAGTTTAATTAAGCTATAATATTTTTGATAGTGTTCACTTGCTGCAATATAAAAATAAGATGGATTTATTTTTCCATTTACAACAAACCCCTGTGCTCTGTTGAGCCTTCCTTTCTCTTTGGGTAGAAGGCTTCCTAATGACATGACCACCGTTTAATACCATAGCTTTTTAGCAAGTCTCAGGTATTGAAAAACTCTATTTTGTAACTTTCTCTATGAACTCTGTTTTCTTTTTAATGAGACATTAAACCATGTAAAGAACACAAATAACATAAATCTCAAGCAAACAGATTAACACATTCTCATACACATACATGCCTATATACCCACTTTCTAGATTAAGATATAGGATATTTCTGACTCCCTAGAAGCCCCTTTATAACTCCTCCTAGTACTAACTCCTAGGAAAATACTACTCTGACCTCCAACATCATTTTGTCTGTTGGTGTACGTTGTATATTTGGGATCATACTGTGTGTCATGTTGTATGTCTTGTTTACTCAGAATTAAGTCTGTGAGATTCATTCATGTTATATGTAGCAGAAGTTTCATCCTTTTTCTTGCCATGTAGGGTTTCCTTATAGTAATATTCCTCAGTTTATCCATTCTATTGTTAATAGGCACTTAGGTGGCTTCCAATTTGGGGCCATTAAGAAAAAGAATCCACAAACATTCCTGTACTTGTCTTTTTCATAGACATGGTGCACTAATTTCTCTTGGCTGCCTATCCAGAATTGGAACTTTAAGGGGATGAGGGAAGCATGCATTTAGTTTTAGGAGATACTACCAGTTTTCCTGAGTGATTGTATAAATTTATTCTCCCAGCAATGTGTGGCAGTCCTAGATGCTGTATGTGCTTATAAAAAGTTAATGTTTTTACTTCTCTTAACGTTTATTATTCCTGTAGATATAAACTGTATTTCCCCATGGTTTTAATCTGTATCTCCCCAACATGTAATAAGATTGAACACATTTTTTATGCTTATTGTGTACTTGGATATCTTCTTTTGTGAAGTACCCATTCAAATCTTTTGTATTTTGTTTAAATTAGTTAGCCAATATTTTTCTTACTGATTTTTATGTTATTTTTACATTCTGAATATGTCCTTGTCTATGTGTAACACAAATATTTTTCTAGTTTTTGGCTTGCTCCTAATATTGAATGTTGATGAGCAAAATTTACTAATTTTGAGAAAATCTTATTTATTCATATTTTCTTTCAAAGTTAGTGCTTTTTGTGTCATGTTTAAGAAATTTTTGCCCATCCCAAAATCATGAAAATATTTTTTTATGATTTTGAAATCATGAAGATATGTTTCCATTTTTTTTCTAATAGTCTTAGGATTAAACATTCTATCTATTCCTGGTAAAACAGATATCCACTTGATACAGCACAATTTGTAGGAAAGGCCATTTTTCCTCCATTGAACTAGGGTGGTCCATTTTCGTAAATTAAGTAACTGTGTATGTGTGTGTCTGTTTCTGGGCTATCTATTCTACTAGTCTATGTGTTGGTGCTTGTGTCAAACAGGACACTATTTTAATTACTGTACATTTATAGTTGTAACTATAGTTCAGCTTTGTTCTTCTTCAAGTTAAGATTTCCATACAAATATTAGAAACAGCTTCTCAATTTCCACAAAACCCTGATGAGCTTTCCATTGGGACCGCATTGACTCCATCAAACTTATGCAGAACTGACAGCTTGCTACTGAATCTCTAATCAATGTTCACCATGTATCTCCATTTAATTAGGACTTCTTTAACTAATATTGTTATGTTTTGACATTTTAATTTTTAAACTAAAATAAATATCTTAAAATATCTTGTTTCAGTGGTTTTGGTAATTTTAATAATATATTTTTAATATTTTTTCTTTCTTTCTTGTACACAGAAATACAGTTAAGTTTTATATGTAGACTTATGATGTTTAGTAATCTCAATAAGATTATTTCTTAACTCTAGTAATTCGTAGATTCTTCTGGATTTTGTATGTGCATACTCATGTAAGTTGAAAATATGGCAGTACTTATTTCTTCCTAATTGCTTTAGTTTTCTTTCTTATCTTATTGCACTGGCTAGCAATGCCAATACAATACTTAATAGAAATGTTGACAATGAACATTCTTCTCTGATTCAGTAAGCTAACTCTGTTTTATTTTGGTTATTAGGCATTAGTATTTATCTTTTTAAAAGCATCAAATTTATATTTAACTTAACTCCCTTTTCTGCCCAACTACTCCCCTACACTGTAGGGGCTTGTAAGGTTCTATTCTCCAGCACTCCATTCCTGCTTCCTTGAATATAGTCTTCAGGGGCTGGGCTGAGAGCATGGATGGTAATTCTTAAAATGACTAGCTGTGACAACTGCCTGTTCTTTCTCTGCTTTTACCACTACTGACGTAGCTCACTGTCAGCAGATCCCCTGAAGATGACTGGAGTCTCAAAATAAGTTGCTGAAGATAGGCTCAATCCCAGTTCCCCTTTGCATAGCTATTTCCTATGTCCTATTCTTTCTCTTTCTCTTTTTTTTTTTTTTTTTTTTGAGACGGAGTTTCACTCTTGTTACCCAGGCTGGAGTGCAATGGCGCAATCTCGGCTCACCGCAACTTCCGCCTCCTGGGTTCAAGCAATTCTCCTGCCTCAACCTCCTGAGTAGCTGGGATTACAGGCACACGCCACCATGCCCAGCTAATTTTTTGTATTTTTAGTAGAGACAGGGTTTCACCATGTTAACCAGGATGGTCTCGATCTCTTGACCTCGTGATCCACCTGCCTTGGCCTCCCAAAGTGCTGGGATTACAGGCTTGAGCCACCACGCCTGGCTTTCTCTTTTTTTTGAGATGAAGTCTCACTCTGTTGCCCAGGCTGTAGAGCAGTGGTGCGATCTCAGTTTGCTGCAACATCCATCTCCCAGGTTCAAGCGATTCTCATGCCTCAGCTTACCAAGTAGCTGGGATTACAAGCACATGCCACCATGCCTGGGTAATTTTTGTATTTTTAGTAGAGACAAAATTTCACCATGTTGGCCAAGCTGGTCTGGAACTCCTGACCTCAAGCGATCCTCCTGCCTCAGCCTCCCAAAGTACTGGGATTACAGGCATGAGCCACCATGCCCAGCCTCCTATGTCTTATTCTTGAGAGCTGCTTTACAAATTCCTCATGTCCAAAAATAATCTTACAATCAAGGCATTATTATTTGCCAACTTGAGAAAATCCAAATATTCCTGAAGGTGGTTTCTGGATATGTGTTAAATGATTTAAATCCTGTCAGCATAGATTCTCTTCAGTGGAAGATTTTAAAGAAAAAAAAAATATTTGGAGAAATTTGTCCTGATAAGCTTGCTAAAAGAAAGTCATATCACTGCGTAAGTTAGAAGTCAAATCATTGGTAGAAACAGTAAACACTATACATACAAGTTTAGTCACTGTATTCTCAGGTCTGGTGCTAAAGTGTTGCTAAGAAAACTTCTGCTATTGTCCAGAGACCACCAGAGCAGGTGTAGACTACTGAAAGACAATATAATGAAGTGTTTCAGAGTACAAGTGCTCCAGTCAGGCCTATCTAAACTGGATTCACAGCTCTGTCACTTAATTGCTACACAATCTGGAGCCGCTTAACCATTCTGTATTCTAGCCATTTATTTGCAGCTGGGAGAAAATAATGATTCCTATTTCATGAAAATTATGGGGACAATGAAATAAGTTAGCACCTTTAAAGTGTGTAGTGAAGTACCAGGATACTATATTTGAGGCCTTGACACACACGGTCATGCTGCTAGATACATACTTTTTGATGAGATGATATGGTGATATTATAAATAATACAAATTGATTTTAAAAAATTAAAACAACCCTCCTTTGATGGACTAACTCCATTTAGTCATATTTTTTCTTGTGTACATATTATAGGAGTGGACTTACTAGTCGTTTGTTTAGAACATTTTCATATGTTCAGGAGAGATACTGGTATTTTTTTTCCCTCCTTAATGCAATCGCTAGGTTTTGGTGTCAATGTTTTGCAAGCCTCATTAAAATGAGCTGTGATGTGCTATCATGCTCCCTATTATCTAAAATAATTTGTGTAAAATTATACTTTAATGTTCGATAAATTCACCAGTGAAGCCATCTTGGAATGGTGTTTTCAGTTGGGAACTGATTTTAATTTCAGATTTAATTTCCCCATGACCTAAACATATTCATGTTTTCTGTCTTTTGTTCAGTTTCAGTGAGTTATATCTTTCAATGAATTTGTCAATTTCCTCTGAATATATATGTATCGGTAATAATTTTTACAATATCTTCATCATATTTCTTTTCAATATAAGTAGGATCTATAGCAATGTCTATGTATCTGTTATGAATACTTGTATTTTAGCTCTTTTCTTTTTTCTTTCTTCTTTTTTTATCACTCAGGCTGGAGAGCAGTGGTGTAATCTTGGCTCACTGCAACCTCTGCCTCCCAGGTTCAAGTCATTCTTCTGCCTTAGTCTCCCAAGTAGCTAGGATTACAGATGCCCACCACCATGCCTGGCTAATACTGTATTTTTAGTGAAGAAAGGGTTTTGCCATGTTGGCCAGACTGGTCTCAAACTCCTAACCTGAAGTGATCCACCCACCTCGGCCTCCCCAAGTGCTGGGATTACAGATGTGAGCCACCACACCTGGCCTCTTTTTTTCTTAATCAATTTTGCAAAGGATTTGTCAATTTTATTAATCTTTTCCAAAAACTTCTTTTTTGTATTTTCTCTACTAACCTCTATGATTATGCTTATATATATGTGTTCTTATCTTTGTCATTTTCTTGTACTGATCTTCTGCGGGTTTAATTTGACATGCTTTTTCTAGATTCTTTTAATTTACATTTAGAGAACTGACTTTCTTCTTTCCCTCTTTGCTAATATAATCATTTAAAGTTATAAATTTTTATTTAAGAAATATTTCAGCTGCATACCACAGGTTTGGATATGTATCTTTTGTCACCAATTCAAAATATGTTTTTCATATTCAATTTAAAATATTTTATAATTTTCATTGTGACTTCTTTGACTCATGGTTTATTTATAAGTGTGTGGTTTAATTCCTAAATATTTGAGTATTTTTAAAAGTTATATTCCTGTTATTTATAGTTTAATTCTACTGTAACCAGAAATATACTTTTATTTGAGTTCAGTCTTTGAAATTAGTTAAGATTTAATTTTATGATCTAGGTTATGTTTAGAATGTTAAATGTATTATGTGCACTGGAAATAATGTGGCTTTTATAGTTTGTTAGTGTGTCATTAGGTCAGAATACTAATCTTGTTCACATTTTCTATATTCTCACTAATATTTTGCTCTTTTAGAAGGAAATAAAAATCAGAACAGAAATAAATGACATACAGAGTAGAAAAGCAAATAGAAAAGATCAGTGAAACTCAAAGTTAATTTTTGTGAAGATACGATTTCCAAACTTTAGCTAAAATAACTTAGAGAAAAACAGAGAAGACTCAAGAAAAATCAGAATGAGAGAGGAGACAGAACAACTGATAAAATAGAAGTAAAAGGATCGTAAGAGCTACATTCCTTTGTGTTACATTGTTTTCTATTGACATTTTGGTTCTCTCGCTCTTGCTTCCTGTCTTCTTTCAAAGTTTTATTTCATAAGAGCTAAAAAATCTAGGTTTGAATTGTACAGATATCCTTTGTAACTTAGCATTAGGCAAAATTGTCTTAGATTAGAGAACTCAATTATTCAAGTAAAAAATGATAAATTGAATTTCATCAAAATTAAAGATTAACTCAGTTTGTTAAACATTAGGAAAACAGGCAAACCATGACCGGGAGAAAAATATTTGCAAATACTAGTCTGTATCTGTCAAAGGATACATAGGAATCAGAAGCAACTGCTCTAACCCAGTAATAAAAAGACAAAACTGGGAAGATATGGCCAGTTACCAAAGGAGCAAGAATGAAGCACAGGGCAGGCCTTCTTCAGTGTCCTTGGTCAGGAAATTTGCATTCCTTAATTTTGTGTGTTAAATTGTGTTACAAAAACAAACAAAAAAAATCTATCCAAGCCCTAACCACCAAGACTTCCAAACCCTTATGTGGATTTAGGGTCTTCACAGTTATAATAAAGACAAGACGAGGCCACACTGGATATTAGAGCAGGCCCTAATCCACTGACTGGTGTCGTTATAAGAAGAGGGAAATTTGGACACAAAGTCACGCAGGGAGAATGCCGTGTCATGAAGGAGGCAGAGACTGGAGTGACGTGTCTTTAAGACAAAGAATGCCAAAGATCGTGGACAATACTGGTATCAGAAACTTCTGCCAGCTTCTTCTGCAATGTCTGCCTACAAACTCGTTTTCTACTAAAATCTTCCATTCCATGAGAGCACACAGAATATGATGAACATTTCAGCCAGGAAGCTGCTGTTAATTCCTCAGTGCTGTTTACCTGTAATGGCCTATATCAGAAGCTGAGCGTGAGGCAGAGAAGAATCTTCCTCAGAGCCTCCAGTAGGTACCAACCCTGCTGACACCTTGATCTCAGACTTCTAGCCTCCAGCACTGTGTGAGAATAAATGTATGTTGTTTGAAGCCACCCAGTTTGTGGTGGTTATTATGAAAATCCTAGAAAACTAATATACTTGGCAATGGAGACTCCTGTTGTATATACTACAGTAGACTGGATTGTTCCCGGGAAAACATCCTCTGAGCTTCAGTCTTATGATGGGGAAGAGAAAATCAGAGAGAGAGAGAGAGAATTGAGATATTCTCATGAGCTTTCCAGGACCTCCATAAAAAGTCATTCCTGGGTCTGGGCTCACATCCCCACT